AGATGATGTCGGTGATACGGTCCGGAATAGGCGGGGTTAGTCCAACAAGTAGTACTACTACGTCTGCTCTTCAATCTACGGTATCTAATGAATGGCTTGTCGCCGTTGCTTTGATATTGTTCATCATACTGCTAGTGGTGATCACCCTGCAGTGCCGACGACGACGAAATGGTCTAGTTCGCAGTAATCGGGCATACAATATAAGGAAAAGTTTAAATATGGAGCAAAATGATGGCGAAGATGAGGACGACTTACTGATAGGGTCACTTTATTCCTAAAATATTTGTTCTTCACGAGTATTTCAGTGATAAACCGAAAATCCCCCTTGTTGTTCTAATCCATTCATTTGCTGCTACTCGCATTTCACTCTTATTTTGAATTAGATACACAGAAACAATCCAACATCTTACCCTACCGCCAGTGTTTTGATCTTAATATTGCTAAGGAATCATATGCAGCGAATAACTAACTCAGACCATTCTGCTCCAGAATTCCGAATTCTGGAATAAAAATACTCTGGAATTATAACCTGTTTGCTATATCTACAGCAGCTATCTTTTACTCATATTTGGCTATCTTGTCGTGCAATGCCACCCAATTTTCAAAAAGTTTCTCCAATGTTTCGATGGTATTCAATCAGCCAGAGAAGTGTAGCTCCAAATTTTTATGCTTCGTTATTCTTAAACGAAAAGGTACTTACGGAATATTAAAAATGGGAAAAGTGAAGTGAACAAGATCTATGATTCTTCAGAAACAGCAAGTTTTGTGGAGGTGTTACTCAGTTAAAACTTGAAATTTTTATCACTCACAGCAAAGGCATCGCGTGATTATTCTGTAAAAAATATATCAGAAGGTAATATGAAATTAAATCCACTAAGATACAATTCATGGTGATTTGAGGTTCCGGTTGTACACTTTGCATCGTATCGTTATGTAATCCTTCAGATAACTTTGCTTTCAATTTTTTCATACAGCTCCAATCGCACTAAGCTTATGCTCTAAAACACCGTCCTTTTTTGCTGCATTCATTTCATCGCAACCTCCAAAAAATTCACCGCCGATGAAAATTCGTGGCACTCTTCTGAAAATGAAGAAACAGCAATAAAATTTGGGAGAATTTGCGCTAAAACTTCGCATGCAGACAGTATTACAGTCCCAATTTGGACTTTCAAATCTGAACCATGTTTATACTCTTCAGCTTCACTTTTTCCAATGACGACTTCTTTACTGACTGCATTAGCCACTGCTAAAGGACTTGACAGTCATCACGGTTTTTTAACTAAGAACAAGTCTCATAAAATAGCGTAATTACAAACCTTGATCCAGTTATCTTTTCCATATAGTCCAAAATTTCTTTTCCATCAGATCTTTTGTTGATGTCGATCCATTCCATTGCATCTCCTTTGAGAGGATATGCAGCAAGCGCTTTACGTGTTCGTTTACAATATATGCACCAACTCTTTGATATTACTACTATCTATAAAGACGTTGCTAATTCAAATTCCAAACTGTATCAAATAGGTTCATTTTTATTGGAAATCAGAAGAATCTGAAAGATAACTGATGTTAATTGTAGAATGTAGGTCAAACTATGGAATTAAATTAAGTTCAAATTTCAAATTAGAATTTTCTTCCATCAAGCTGTAATCGTCATCATTAATGTCTTGAAAATAAAAAAAATGTGGGAAACTTAACTTTTTTCAATGCAATTAGTTCATCAATAAATCGTTGCACTTCATCCATATCCTATAGGTTAAATTTGAAGAACTTTTGCTTAAAAGAATATTTTTGTGTTCTTCAGTTCTACCATCCCGCAGGTTCATGTTTCCATACAGAATTCCTTTATTCGTTTGCTTAACAAGTTTTACTACGCATCAATAACTTCGCAAATTTGTTAGGTTGAGTGAGGAAACCAAGAATATGTCCCCAAAGTTGATGGACTGAAACTATATTCCAACCATAAATAATCAAAATCTACTCCTAAGTAAGGCTGATCTTTTCGGAAAGGCACTTTCCAATAAAAAAGTATACCTGTGGAACATATTTGGAAAATAAAAAGCCCATAATGTAAATTGCTTTCCCGACCTAAAAATAATTTCAAATGTAACTTAGTAAGTTAAAATTAATGAAGTGATGCAACGATAAATGTAGCGAAAACTGCAAAGTGAATTGAGAATTCCAAATTGAATAGTGAATTGAGAACCGCAAAGTGAACTGAGAATGTCTTTACTTGCCCTGGCTTATTTTGGGGACATTTCACCATCCAACAACATATGTATTAGATAACAATGCGGCAATTTACCTGACTTATAAAACAAATAAAGTCATGTGATTTATTCATTAATAGAACTGATTTTATCAACGTTTCGAGCTTATTTCCTGAGCAAACATGATTTGAAATCAAGCTTTTCTACTAAAGCTGATAAAGAAAAGAAGGCTGACGAACCAGTGAGATGCACTGACTGAGAAAGCTGTTAAATCCCAAATGTTTAGAATAAGAAAACTATAAAACAGCTTTTGGTATATTCAGAAATGCAGATATTAAATTCTGCCAGTTAAAGCAAGTAGTTGAAAATTAAATAACTGAAAAACGAATTATCAAAAGTATATGCATTTCCGAACATAGTGTTAAAATGGAGTGTAGTGTTGAGTAACGTGTAACAGTCAAGCATGTTTCTAATCTGCATGATATCACCTTCGGTAGTGATAAACAGCAATAAAACATCCAAAATGACATAAGAATATAGTAATTTGATTGTTGCAACGGCAAAATAGGAGGTATTCATTGAGCAATAAGACTAAAATTACTACTTAATTGACCAAATGAAACTATAAAAATTTACGGAAGACTTAATGTCAGTCATGTCAGTTAATGACAACAAAACCTAATGGGTTAACATGACTTGACTTATTGACAACTAAAATTAACATTATTTCCTGACCAAGTGGAAATGACATGAGTTCATGTAATCCCAGGTACAAAAGTAGTATCTGCCGCACAATTAAATACTTCATGTAAACAAAGAAAGAAATATCCAGAGAACGGCAAATATCCAGAGAACGCAGTCAGGCACATGAAAGCCTCACCTGCATCTTACATGCCGGTAGCTATCGATGATGTTTGTCCCAGCACTGAAGAAATCCTTTTACAACGGAAATCATGAAAAGTAAGCAAGACCTACCAGCAATATGTCTTCTCACCGAATCTCAAACTTATTATAACAGGCCGTCATGCCCGTTAAATTCGGCTAATTGGCTCTTCTGTGTCGGGAAAGATCAAAATTGAACGGGAAGTTCGGGGTGGGGAAGGATGAGTTTCTTTTGTTGTTGCTATTGACAGTAAAGAAGGATCTAGTGGGCAGTTCAGACGACCCCTACTACAATGTCCCAGGTATTTTACTTTTACGGGGTAGTGGGTGTAGGGCTTCTTATGTTTCATTACAAAAGGATCACGAGAAGACCCACTTGTCTTGGCGCTCTGTGGCCAAATCCAATCATCGACTCATTTTCCTTACTGATGACCACTAAAAGAGGTAGTTGTTTTCTGATCGCTTATGAATCAGCTATGATTACAGACATCTTCCATCCTATGTATTTGGTGGTGGCAAGGTACAGTAGATGTCTGTATTTGGCATTCTAGTTATTTATTTATTAATTAATTGGCACAATCAGTTAATTTATTTGTTGGTTCATTTATTTATTTATCTATTTTTCTATTGTTTATATTTATATTTATGTATACAAAATTTGCATGTCAACTGAATGAACTTATAAGCTCCATAACAATGAATGCATTTATTGTTACTCTCGAGAAATTTTTCATTCTTTCTTCGCTTTTCCTACACCGTGGAATTTGTTTCACAAACTTATTATGACCGGAATGCAAAACCGGACCAACTAAATAATGTAACCATCCACTGAAACATTTTGGACACCTTTCTTTGTATATGCGACTTTGATCAATCAAGTATGCAGGAATGGATCAATGAACATAATCTGATCAGTTTTCAGCAGGACGCATTCTAATGGGAGTTCAAGATGATTTTGAAAGATAATATTCCTAAGGTAGCTGGTCAATGTGGTTCTGTTCCTTCGTAAGTTACTTGTATTTGTTCTTCATTTCCTCTATCATTTCACTTGACCATTTCCTTTCGCTGCGGTTCTCTGTAACATCGCAGGTTTGATTTGGGTGACATGTTGTGGAATGAAATGTAAATAAGATTAATCTGCTTCGTTTTCACTGGTTTCTGTTCATCCTTATTTTCACTTACGTTTGCTCCTCACTCCTCATTTCCATCCATACTTTCATGGGATGAAAATAATGAAAGTTTACATCTCACCGACATTTGATAATTAAACAGAATTAAAGAATATGAAATGTTGTTCTGTAGAAATATTTTCTAGAAGCAGTTCGGATGGGGAAGAGGAAGTGTTGAATTTCACAGCAGATTCTTCGGATCGTGTGTACTGGCCACCGAGAGAAAATACTGCGTTGATTGCACCGTGGTGTCGACGGAGATATGCACTTTCTTTGCGAGGGTTAGCACAAATTTGCACTCTTCTTTCATTCCTTCTGCTTCTCTTGAAATTACTGTTTTTTTTCTCTTGAAAAACATGAAACAGTAAGCTGATAAATATAAACACACGAAAGTCCGCATCTCACCGACATCTCAAATTGTCACCTTCTTCCAATTTGTCCTTCATAAGAAGTCGGATCTCTGATTTAGTGCTAAATGTTTTTTTTTTTCATCTATAACTATCTGCAGCGGCCGAGGTATATCAGTTTCCAAAAATTTTTGGAAATGAATTATAAAGTGGAGATTTGGAAATATGAAAGACCGTATGGAAATTGTAGGTTACACGAAGAATTACTGGATTTATATGCGTGGTTGAAGCCTTCCCCACTGGAGAAAGCATTACGACTTCGTGTGTTTGAACGAGTTCGTGGAGTCCTTCAACGAATTTGGCCAACAGCAAAGATTGATGTGTTTGGCAGCTTGTACACGAGCTTGTTTTTGCCTACCTCAGACATCGACGTGGTTGTGGAAAGTGATTTAGTGAGTGAGGAACCACCTCTTTGGAAAACGGCAGTAGCATTAAAGTTTGTATCTTCTGATTTATAAGACTGTATTATGATTGAGATATAATTTTCCTATTTTTTTAAAAAATTATAGTCAAGTAATGTAGCGGTTTGCTTTGCTTGCCTGCTAAACATTTAAACCATTTAATATTCAAATTTCATGTTTAGTTTGAAAATGCGCTTTCCGGGAGCAAATGATCGAGTTATTAGTTGAATGGACCTAACTTATTCATTTTCAACTTAATTTCTCAGAGAATCTGGAATCACGGAATCAATCAATGTGCTTGACAAAGCATTTGTACCAATCGTAAAAATGGTCGACAAGGATACCAAAATATATCTAGATATATCATTCAATACAGTACAAGGTGTGCGTTCGGCGAGGTTTATTGAGGATATGAAGATGCGGTATCCCGTGCTTGAACCACTGGTTTTGGTCCTTAAACAGTTCTTAATGCAGCGGCAATTAAATCAAGTATGATCTTTTTATTGGTAAAAGTCATACTACTGTCTGACTTTATTACTCCTCTTTTCTGCGAGTGTACGTATCATCATCATCATCTTTTATGTCTAAACCAAATATTATTCTGCTGATTCGTAAATGGTGGGAATTTTTCTGGTATTTTCTAGGTTTCTATAAACAGTCATATATGTAGAGCATATATGATATGTCTTTGGTGGCTGGAATCCAGGGGTGTTTTTCATTATTGTTTAATTTAAACGAAGTTCAGCTGGTCATATTTACTTGCTTCGTCTAGAATGAAATATTTCAGGTATTCACCGGTGGTTTATCATCTTACGGGCTTATTTTAATGCTGATTAGCTTCTTGCAGGTACTTTCTCGCAATATCGTGAGCATTTGCTTTATTTCAGTTTACCAATCCGGAATTTCCAGTTTCTTTTTAAAATTTAGTCAGTTTGACTAGACTTTATAAAACTTGGTACTCAGCATTTGCAGTAATAATTTGTTGATTGCAGCTTCACCCATCGTACGATTATTCATATAAGGGAATCACGGAGGTGAATATGGGCGTATTATTGCTTAGTTTTTTGCAACTTTACGGGCAGGAATTCAACTACATGAAAACAGCTTTACGTATTCATAGCGGTGGAGCGTATGTTTGCAAGGATGAAATCTTAGTACAGATGAATAGGCCATCAAATTCGATGTTATGTATTGAGGATCCTTTACAACCAGGTTAATAAAGTTATATTTAAATAAAAGATTTATCCAATAAAAATGCCAAAAAATATTTGAGATATCCTAATTTACTTCGTATTATAATTCATGTTCTATATTACATCGGAAAAACTTTTACAGTTATCGGGTTACATTTACTTTCATAACTAAGTTTAAACTTCAATTTATGTGATTGATCAGTATAAATCATTACTTAAAGAAATTTTAAGGGAACGATATTGGACGTTGTTCGCATAATATTCAATTAGTCCGACAAGCTTTTGAACATGCCTTTGCCACGTTGTGTGCTGTATTTGTTCGATCACGTGAGTACTCAACAGTATGGCGTGCCCGTTATCACGGCTCACTTCTCTCTCTTATTATGCACATTTCGCCGCGAATGATCCGCTATAGAAATTGGTTAAAAGGACGTGTTCTATCAGATGGCACTTCGTCTCCTTCACTTTCTAAGGCTTCTACACCAGAAAATTTTTCACCATCACTTCTGAATACTTCCTTGATTTCCCACTTATCCTCGCCGAATGTTTAGAAATCTTTGTCAACTCACAACTTGCTGGAAAATACGCAGCACTTTCCGTTATCACTGTCATCGTATGCTAATGGCTCGAAAATTTCAGCTTTTTTGTCTTCTAAAATTGTGATTAATTTACTTCCAGTTTCTTTTCACTCTTTTCTGAGCCAAAACTGCAGTGATGATGTAATGAAGCGTTTTTTTTTTGTTACCATTTTTGAGCTTTCTATCTTGCTTAATAAATACATGTTCTAGGTTGGTTTTGAATATCTGGATTTTTTAAAAGCTAAGGCGCAGTGTATTTCTTGAAGATAAATTAGACCACAATATGCCTTTAACAAAGTTAGTGCAGGTGCTTGCGCTTGTATTTATAAATCTACTTGCAGCATATTTTGATTTTGTATCGTAATTCCTTAAAAGTTTTGCTGATAATATATTTGTTGAGGAGATAAATTCAAAGAGGATGGTTCATTTTGTGACTGTTGTCATTCGGTGATTATTTTGCATTATCTAGCCTTTCCTTCCAGTGATTTTACAAACTCTTTGCTCTCCACAACATTTAGTTTAATTCCGCGACATCTACCTGGTAAATATTCCTTTTTCTTTACAGATCGGAAAATTCCTCAACTAGTTGCCATTAGTGAGTAATTGTAGCATCCCATCTCTGGATAGCACTATTAACGTTATATTTGGAAGATTCAGGAATAAATGACCATAATTGCAACAATATGTGCTAAGCTGCCGATCATTATATTCTGCTTCCGCTCATGGCAAGCTCCTTTGTTAAGCAGAGCTGTTTTACTTGAATGTTTCTGTTTTATGCACATTAACATGTGGTAGTTATCCTGTGCTGTTTCCCATATCTTTCTGTGTAATATCCGATGTGTCACACTTGTTTTCTTTTTCTTTTTTTCCTTTTTTTTTGTAAAACTAGGCTTTTATGGCAATATTTGTTGTCTTTGTATTTTCACGTTTCGTGGTAAATGTTTGAATTTTTCTATACTCTTTATTTTAAACAGAATTTATTGGATGTTTTCTGTATATAACTTTCAGCATATTTAAAATGGACGGGTAGTATTTGCCTTGAAGAAAACTACACAGTCTTCAGCTTAGCTGTTTATTCATTGTTGACCAAATGAATATTTGAATCCGCTGTTGCTTTTCCAAATCATTTTAGCACATTATTACCGATAAGTTGTTGTTTGGTTTATTTTGCTCTGTATTTCGGTGTCCATTAAAAGCTTTATAGGACCACAAGTTTGATTAAAAATTCACACTGTCTTAGTTGACAGTGGGCCAGTACTTTCACTTTTAGTTTTTAAATTTAATGCATTGCACATTTATTATTTTTCATTTTTTGAATAGGTTCAGGAGGGAAACTTTGTAGTATCATTGTGCTGTTGGAACAACAGTGCTAATGAACGGTGTTTTGTCGCTAAAATTTATTAAAGAATCATTTCATAGATCATAGTACTTGAGTAAATTGCTTCTATTCGTTGTAAATACCGTTGTTATAGTAAATTCTTTGAACTGTGCATCGAAGTGTTCTTTTTTGTTGGATTTTCTACTTCTATATGAATTTATTTTTTTAAAGGGATTTTTGAAGAATGGAGCCGTCGAACTCTGAGTTAAGTATGCCAATTGAATCTTCATCGACGCTGGCTTCTCACTCCTCAAATTCTTCGCAAACTGAGATCAAAGTTGAGGTTCGTCGGATTATTTAATACCAGTTGATTGCGTTTTTTCTATAAGGATCTTTGGGTCATTTTAGCTTCAGGAGTTCCGTAATGAGTTTACTTGTTTTCATTGAGCTGTTTCTTATCCAGAATATACCCATTTGCAAAACTTTCAAGTCATTTTAAGTGAGGACCATTCAGTGTGACCTGAATGTTTATGAAACCGTCCAGGAATATCACTAACGATTGCTGTTCGATTTTTGGGGATTCAAGTTCTAGAGCAAAGCCAGCGTAGTACGCTGCCGCTGCAGTTATGAAGAAATGAATGAATTAAAATTAAACGATTAGCTTTTTTCAGCATGTGAAACACAGTTGGACAGTGAAGAATTTTTCACATTGTTACCAGGAATATTTAGAAAATTTTGTTCACCTACATCGTGGTGAAGATACGCTTACCTGGTCCATCAAAATTTACCCAAAAGGAAATGGTGAAAACAACAAAGATTTTGTTTTTTTGTGTCTTAATAGAGTGATCAGTAATACGAATGCGCCATGCAAAAATGGAAAAATTGGCTTCAAGTCTCGGTAATAGATTTAATATGTTTATAAAAATCAAGGTAGAATAAATTGTTCTATCTTGATTTCATTTGATTATTTCTGTAATTTTTTTTAATGACTTCGAAGCATAGTTCAGAATTATTAAAAACGTATTTTTGTTGCTAAATCTTCCATAACCATTTTCTGGCCTCTAACCTGATGTAACAAGGGTGACATTCGTCTCAGAGTACTAATCAGTTATTCCGTTCAGTGTTCAACTTTCGATTACTGCATTATTGAAACTTCATTTTTTCAGTTTCATTTTACGAACCAGCGAAATGAAAGAGATCGAAATGCGTATTCATCCAAATCCCTCCCATTCTGATTACGTTTCATACATAAAACGAGATGTTTTGTTTCCACAAATATTGCCAAATGATTCAATTATTGTAAACGTTGAGATAGATGTAGCTGTGGAAACTGTTACGACAACGCTAGAGGAGATGTTAACCGTGAGCCTGTTGAATCTTGCTGGGATTTTTTTAATCCGTATTACAATGTACGACTCTACTTTTTCATGTTGTGCTTTCTCCGTTTTCCTCTTGTTTACGGAAGCATTTGATGGAAAAGGAGAAGGATGGATAAGCGGCATATAAGTTAGTTTTTGTTCATTTCATTTTACTGCGATTCTTTTTAGAGTAATAGCGAACAACAGCTCACGGAAGATTATTTGAAAATGTTGAAAGATAACGTGCTGACTGATTTCGCAATAAAAGTCGGCGAGCGAGAAATTAAAGTTCATCGTGCTATTCTAGCGGCTAGATCTCCGGTTTTTGCTGCTATGCTAAGGCATGAAGACACCAATGAAGCTAAAACGGTAGGTTTAGTTTTGTATACGTTTTAGTTCAGTTATTATGAAATTGAGTTAAACAGATTTTTCCAAAAACAAGAGCTCAAAAAAAACTTCTCTGGGTAGATTATATTGCAACTTATTTACGCAAGGAAGTACCAACGTATGAAATCCATTATTTCTTCCTTTAATTCTTTTCTTTTGTTTTAAATGTACAACTTGTTATAGGGTGTAATGGTGATCGAAGATTTGGAATATGATACGGTTACGGAAATGCTCAATTTCATTTACTGTGGGCGTTGTTTAAGAGATGTTAATGAATTTGCGTTTGCCTCCGATTTATTAATTGCTGCAGACAAATATCGACTTGAAGAACTGAAAAATCACTGTGAAAAAGCTTTAATTCAGGTGAAATGATTTGTGAACATGTCGTCGGGAGTTTTTTGTCATTCGTCAATTCATACTGATTTTGCGGTCATGATTTGCTCTCAGTAAACGAATCCAGTTAACCCATTTTATTCTGTTTGACTGTTGGATAATTATTTACAGGATTAAAATTAAACCTGCTTTGAAAGGTATCATGTAGTCAGAATCTTTTCATTTGCAGGCGTTGACATTTGAAAATGTTTGTGAATTGCTCATCGTTTCGGATATCTACAGTGCACCACATCTTAGACATCGTGCCGTAGAATTTATCATCCAGCATCCACGAAATATTACGTCTACGCCAGGTTGGGATAATGTTGTCAAACAACATCATGATCTTGTCACAGATATCGTTCGTCATTTCGATAAATCATCCGACAGAGGTAACTTGTAGAAGATATTTCCGGTGAATTGGTACTATATGTGTGTCAGTTACACAGGTTGATTAATATGTGATTTTTGCTTGAACTTTCAAATTCGAAAGTGTGTTCTTTCAATTGTTTCGTGATACTATTTTCGAAGTTTAGTGGAAGGGAAAAAGTGACTATCACCACCTTATCTAATTTAAAAAAGTTGGCCTGACACATAATGATTCCGTTCTTACGGCAGAAATCGTGGGAGTGATTCGATATTAGGTATTTCACTGTCTGCTAGTCTGGAAAGTACCGGATCAGTGAAGTATGTTAAGATTAGATGTCATTTTTCCCAAATTTGTTTAGACGTACAGTTTGGCCGAGCAAGCATAACTTTCACTTTTGAAAGAGAACTAAACGAACTCGCTACTTCTTAAGAATTACTGTTGACATAAATAAAACTTGAAGGCGATTAGGTTCCGGCATTTCTGCCAAGATAATGGTTGTCTTTAACAAGAGGGTAGTGTCCTCGAGGTAAACTGTAGAAAGGTATGAATTTTTTCTAACTGTGATGGTTCTCTGCTTTTTAAAGCATTTAGTTGTCTTAATCCAATGTTTCATTTTCATTTCCTGTAATTTTGACTTTTCATTCTTCCGAAGAGATTATCGATTTTTCTGAATCTCATATTACTTCAGTTCATTCACTTGTAAAAACTCGCTAAAATTAAAAATACTTCACGTTCATCAGACAGATATACAATTACGTTATTATCAACAATACGATGTCATTGCATATGGAGCAGCGTGTGTGCCGATGCCATTTATGCACGCCATCAGTATGCTACTGAATTTCGCTTGTTGAAACAAGAAATTCGGCATGAGCTAGGAATTTAAAATGAACTTGAAAAGAAAATTTTGTATTTTCATATTCTTTCAGCATGATTATAGCATGTCTGATCTCCATGCCGTTCCAAGCTTCAATTTCCAGATGCTATACTTGAAGTTAGGTTTATCTCGAAATGTCTGGAGTGCTCGAGACCTCAAATATTCTTTAAACTGATTCATTCTCTTTTCCTTTCATTCCTTACTCTTATGTGTCAGTTTTTGAGCTCGAACTGAACTCCAACTAAAATCAAGAACTCCGAATATGCCGAATCAAATATTTACAATAATGAATAACATCGATCCGATTTTAGAACCAGGTTATAGTTAAGTCCTGAATGTGAGTGGTAAGGTCTACGTACTATCTTCTTAGAGAGCTTTCGGAGAAAATAATTAAGCAAAAATGAGAGGGCCCCACGGCCACTCTCATTTTAGATTATTCCTCCATGAATGATAAGAAAGTTGGGGTTGATAAAATTCTTTTAGGTGACAAAAACTGTCCTATCCTTCCGGAGGACTTTGTCCCACCTTTTCCGATCACTTTTGCGCTAATTAAACCAACTCTCCATCCTCATGTGTCATGTAGATTGGTTATTTGTACTGTTTCATTTTTTAAAAGATTTAAGAGAATGTAACTTTTGAAGAATAATACCAGCTCATTTTTCACGACTCATTACTAAGATGGTATCTAAATGCAAATTTCTTTATACTTGCCGACCATTGTTCCTTGCATCCTACCTTGCATACTCTTTGTAATACACTACATACTCTGTGGCATTTTTGGGAATTTCCGGAAAGTTTCATAAAATGAATCAGCATGTTGAAACTATCATGAGCATGCATCATTATTCGAGTTTCAAAGTATTTGATCATTCATGAATTATCTGCATGATAAGGAATAAAATTCCTCTTCTGCTTTTATTAATCCTGCTTGTATGAATGAAAAGTGAAAACCACAACTTATGAAAACAATATGCCGATACTTTATACAAGGGTGCCACAAATAAATGAGGGTCTTTCTATGACACGGCTTTATTTCCGAATAAACTTAACTGTATTGTGCCTTTTCAGAATGACTGAAGGAAAATTAACCTTATGTCGGAAAATCGGAATATTTATCATTTTGGGATCTATAACAGATGTTGATCCAGTCCATTCATCTATATCTTACATATTTTCGCCAACAGTCATGTGAAATCTTGTCATCTTGCAGTGATTTAACTCTGCTGATATTATTGAGACTCATTACTAACTTTCAAAAGTGTCCATAAAATCTAAAAGTATTTATGCACAGGTAGTGAGAATCCAGACTCGAAAAGGAATTTTTAATAATGTGAAAAAGAAATTCAGGAATATTACAGAAATCCAAACAATAGGTAAGTTAAAGGAACTCCCTAATTCAGTTGCAATATTTATATGTCTAGCAGTGACGTTGGACACTGCATGCATACATGAATTAACAGTAAATTAGATGCTGTTCGAGTTTTCATTAGAAGATATTAAACTACCCATATTATCCAGTACCAATAAGTTAAAGGGCATTAAATCAATTGGTCAAAAAAGGAAAGACATATTGGATAATGGGGTCTGCCCACATCTATGTAAAACACTAACATGGGTGTTTAGTTTCACAACAATATTAATTTTGCAAAATTCTATTCGTGTTCCGATTCCGAATCTTCCGTGTAGTCAGATGAATCTTCTAGCTGTTCTTCCTCATCTGAATCCTCATATTTAATTACAGGCACTTCCTTCGCCTCGTGAACATCTAACTGGAAATTAAGCAAATTTTTGGTAAAGGTAGCTTGGAATCGAAAATAGAATGTTTATAAAAACGTTCACGATTATCTACCCGATGATCTCTCCTTGTACTTCCTCCCCTTCATCCTCTCCTAAAATTTTCTCAGCAGTTCATTAACTCGCAGAATATCACCTATATTGAACACCTATAACGAGCTCCGACCAAACCACACTTGACGAATCCCTTAAATTCAAATTATAATACCCACATATTCTTGTTCTTTATAATTTGTTGCAACAATATCGCATAAAGAATTTCCATTACTGAAGGTAATAAAAAGAATAGATGGGACATGATTTGGAGCTATTTAGTTATTTAGCCGGGAAGTGTTCCCTAATCAAGTATTCCCCTTTAACTTTTCACAGAAAAGTTACCTGACAAGACTATTACAAGGCTGTTACTCTGCAGAATAACATATTCTACAGTACTTCTGAGTGGTTCCTGACAAAAGTGTCTGCATGAAAAAAGGAAACAAAAATTTGACCTTTAGGTCGAGTAAATAGTCACAATCCATATATGAGTCCGATTTAACTAATAAATTATAGTAATATATGCCTTTGTGCTGCGGTGCTGCAAACTTTATTTCCACCTGAAATTAATGACTTCAATGAATACAATCAATTAATCTTTACCACTATTAATGCAACCATACTTTTTTTCAAATCGATGATGAACATATATATTAATTTTTCCTTTGATTTACTGGCTGGATCACGTTCCCATCTGAGAAAAACTACATAACTTCCAGAAAAAATCAAAGAGCAGAACTTTCTGTTTATAAGACAAAACACTTAAAACAAACCGTCTGCTCATTAACGAGTGTTGTGCAATGCACTGCTGGCACGACCAGCTTACGAAGCTTCTTATCAACAAGCAGTAACCACCACCACTCGAATTTTTCGCTCGGGAAGTAAGGACAGTGCACTGGATGGGTCTTTTTACTCCTACTTGCCAAAATGGATTCTTTTTCGCCATATTTTCATTCGTCCAATCTTCATTATCTGATTCATCCATCACTTCAAAATCACTACCGTTCTCCTTCTCGTTTTCACTAGAATAAATTCGTACGAAAAGTTTACTTGGATACATTTTTCAGAAATGTAACTATCTCGAAGACATACTTTTCCCAAATTGCATCAAAAAAAAAGTGATTACAAAGCACTTCAAAAAGCAGTCTATTACATAATTATCCGACAAATCAGAAACGCTAAATGTATTATCTACAAAACTTCACTACCTATATAGAATACTGGCATATTGATTCACAGCGTAATATCGAAGGTTCTTGACTGCATTATTTTTGATTCATGAAAAAGAACTGTAGCCACTACAATCAACTTGAAAACCAACTCTTTAACATATCCTTTTTCGGAACCACTCGGTTCCTCGTTTTCGCTATCTCCAATTGTTTCCATATCATCATTATTCTCTTTCCTGTTCTTCTTTTGCTCTTCCAGTTTTTCTTTGTTGTTTTCTTCTGACTTAATCACAGGTTTTTTTATTAATTTGGTTTTCTGTCCCTGTCTATTTTTGGTTGGTTTCGTTCTGTTTTGTTTCTTTTTCGGTTTCTCCCATATTTTCCTCTTTGGTGCATTGTTGTCCTTTTCTTCATTTGTTTCCTCTTCATCACCAACCACCTCCACTGGTTCTGCTTCCTTTAAAGTACGAAGACAATTAAATACATGGAGTCCTCTATAATATAAATAATTCTCCTGGCTTTAGAATTCAAGGAAAAAATTAAATCTGAATAAAGTTCATAAAAAACGAGTTAACAATACCTCCTCACCAACCTCACGGATTTCTTCTTCCCGTTTATTTGAATCTAATAATGGGCTTCTTGTTAAAACAATCTTCAAAGTAACCACTGAACCAACTGTTACTTTTTGAGCGTCATCTTCACCTTGTACTGCAAAAGGTTAAGGACCATTCACATCAAAATAATGAGCAAAAATAGAACGAAAATGCAAAACAAGCAAAAATAGAGCGAAAATGAATTCACTTACCTTCAAAACGAGGTTCAATATTTAACCTAGGCATCGACTGCAGTACAAAGACTATATCATTGTATTCGGCATCGCTTAACGACTGCAATACCTGACGACGTTTAATTTCGTTTAGATTTGCAAGGTCTGCACAAGTGATTATACGGTTCTAAAATAAATCACAGTTATGATTGGACAAATTTTTGAAACAGTAACTTAACATCGCAATATATCTTCAAGATTGATACAAACGAATTAATACATAAATTACTTTTAATTCATGAAATTCCAAGAAAAAAAAGGTTGAAAACCCAACAAATCAGAGAAGACAAGAGAAATACAATAAGTTATGTTTCTTATAAACTACAAAATGATATCCGTTTTTTACAAAAAACAGAAAAAGTACGTGGATACTGAAATGGAACTATTTTAATAAAAAACATGCTTACGCGACGGAAATAGTGTAAATTTTGTTCTGTGATATGTGGTAATTGTAATAAAGGGCTATTCTTTGGCCACAATGCTTGGACAATCATTGGCAATAATTTCGCCAAGTTTTCGATCGTATCCAGCGATGGGCAACGCGCTGGATTACCGTAGAAACATAAATGTTGGGCGATGGCTAACATCTCGTTGGCAAGCATAACACATTTAGAAATCACATAAGCACAGTCTAAAACAGTGGTATGCAAGAGTTTACACAACGTTGTTAACACATCATTAATTCTAAAATATCATTGGATCTACCTTGAAATGAACACTTCAGTGTATTAAAATATGATTTGTCATATGATAATGATACCGCTAATGATCATCCTTAACAGTATAGAATACTGCCAAACTATAGCAAAGTAACACAAGGATAAATAGGATACAAAAAGTTTTCTGAATTCAGTGGATAGAACTTGTCGGAATTAAGAAATCCCTGAAGAGAAGTCCTTCGGAAAAACTTTGTGACTTACTCAAAACATTATGAAAAACAAAATATTACCGCTTCTTAAATTGGATGAATCAATTGCAAAGCGCGACAAATGCGCATGGATAAAGAAGCGCGCCTTCAGGGAATACGGCAAGCAAAGAGGTCGTTCCTTCTTATTTTCACTTAAATTTTTGAACTGTTTGATGAGTGGTGGCAACTCAGTATCGTCACTTTCACGTTCCACAATTTCTTTATTGTACTGTCTCCAGAATTCAAATGAACCTCCAAGCACCATTAAAATACCTAAAAGAATACGGTCTATCATGTATAATTAGGTAACCTAATTCCTAGAAAATCAGTGGATATCACAAAATATACGACTGCAAAGAAATATGCACTTGTACCTATTGTTTTGGAATCCTTTAGACTACAAAATCCGCAACCTGTGTAATATGCGCATATGAGACATGCGCAATATGATAAGGATGTTAAAAGGGAAAATTCTTTAATACCTACGATTTATTTCCATTTTCGGTGTTTTATGGAAAAAATAGTAATACATTTCAGTTGTATCCAGTAATACTTGATCAATACTATATTTGATGGAATTATACCACCAAAAGCCCTAAAAAAATGATAATGAGAATGCAGAATATCCCACTACAAGGTTAAAGAAGACTCACATTAATTATAGAACGGTGAAGTAACAAATACGTACAACAGCTGAAGGAAGCAAAACCATGAGGACGAAGCCATAAAATGCAAGCACCCAAACACCGTATTCCTTACTAACAATCCACTTTGGCAATGCAATTCCGAATGTAGTCGCTAGAATTTATTTTAATTATTCAGCAGAATCTGGTAAAAAAAGAAGCTTGTAAACGACAAATGTATGTGCATCGAAATACACTATGCAAGGTCCAAGTTACAATTTACCAGTTGGTCCATCCGGATTGCCATATTTTTCCCAATTCTCTCTACTTTCGTCATCAGTTAGCGCCTGATATGCTTTTGCGATGCGATCAAACTGCACAGGATCACCCCCTTTATCGGGATGCATTGTCTTGCTTAGTTCACGGTATTTCTTTTTCACAACAGAGCTAGCAGCTCCCTTAAATATTTTTTCGTTTCTAAGATAGGAAATAAATGACTATCACCTTAAAAATAGACTAGCTCAATTCTGGCGAAATTCGTGATGCAAAATTTATCATTTTGCAGTATATTGCAAACAGAAATCTATTGAAAAAGAAGACATGAATCCTAGAACATGAGATCGAAAACTTGGACAGCAAGAAACAAGAAAATCACCTGATCAATACCAAGTATAGCGTATGGATCATACTCGGTATGTTCAACTTCAATTTGCGTTACTTTACGTACAATGATAAAAAATAAGATCCACGCTAGGGCTAAAGCTAAAAAAGTTAGAAATTTCTTGGTCCTCCGCCATGGACGTTTCGCTTCTGCTTTGATACGCTTGTCAGTACATCCTTCACAATAGCAGTGCTCCTTCCTTTCAATTTTATCTAAAATTCGGACCACGGCATATTATCACTTAGTGAAAGATCTCTGCAGTTGGACCATTACCGGAATACCAACGTTTCGCGGCAAACTATATCTTCCAAGATATAAGTTTTTACACAAAGCAGAATAGTGTTTTTATGAAACCAAATGGTGTTAACTACTTTCGCAAAACGTTGATATATTCAGAGGTATCCAGCTGATTTCATATTTCAATGAATCGCTATATTTTAAAAGTCATTAAAAAATCTTTTGTGCCAGCAGCGCGAAACAATATATTCTTCAGGATATAGATCGAAGTTTGATGATGAAGACTAACCTAATTTACTCGAAGGCCAGAAAAAAAATGTTGCTGGTATGAGGACCAAGGCGTAAAATGATACTAGAACATAGTAGAATGTATTACCCACTTCATCATATTCAAACTGTGCACGACCCATCACCAAAGCCCTGTAAATGGCTACTTTTTAATATATTCGTCAGATCGATAAAACATCTCTTGTTTTCCTTTAATGTAAAAAATTTTCTTCCAGAACTTTAAGAGTAGAAGGCAGAAGTGTCATATTATGGTGCTAAGCGCTCTGTGACTTGATTTCTAATTATGATCCTGCAATCTTTAATTGTACAGATAAGCAGCGAAATCCATCAGCTCATTTTCGGCAGGATGAGCGGTGCTATCAAGTAGTCCAAAAAGGAAAAAAGAACTCGTTAGTATCACTTGATGTACATAGCCGACAGAAAAGAACATCAGACCCCGGCGCATAGCATCGACTTTAATCTTTTCATCCCGCTTCCCAAAGCTGCACTTTGAGAAGTGAGATAAAGTCCCCGGGCCGCTCCCCCACACAGATTGGAAACAACTCCCTCACCCCACACCCTCATATCAACATGGCCGCACCGTCTTGCTGGTATGTAATATTCAAAGTCGCTTCACTGGCCGCGCCGCGATGAAAATCGCTTGTCTCAGTGAACTGATTCAGTTTCAATGGAAGTCTTACCTTTCCTACCGATTGCTTGGAAGCACAAAGGCGATTTTTACGTTTTCTTTCGGAGTGTAGTAATGGTAGTACAGATAGTAAACATCAGTAAGTATCACTGATGTTTACTATCTGTCCTAGACTAATTTAGCATTTAAAGATCAGGATGCTTCTTTGGATTTTGGTTTTGAAATCTGATTTCGTCTGGGCGGCTTAATTCCGTTCCACTTTTGAGGATCGTCTCTTCTACACCTTCATACGTTATCAAATTGTAGCTTGGCATGTGTGATACTGTGAAAGTCATGGCAAGATTATGCACTATTATAGGAATCTTGAAATCGATTTCCTGGTTTTATTCAAGTGACTTATTAAAAAAGTATTCCAAGGCAGGCTTGGAAATAGGAAGTGGAGCATTATTTGAGTATCAATGATGTTTACTACCAGTGATAATGCTCATGTTAACGGAAGACGCTGATGTCCAGTGTTAAAGTACACTCGTAGGTATCTTTCCATCTGTATCTGTCTTTTTCCTTGGAAGCAGAGATCAATTCGCTCATGACCAAGAACGACTTGTAACCTTCGACCTCCAGAGGAAGTCACTGTCGTCTGCTTACCTTTCCCATCGCCATTTGAAATTTCCATCGCGCCAAATGCATTCCTACAACACTTTAAAAGTCTGCTCATCAAATGTATCAATCGATTTATCGATTACGAGAGGAAAGGGGGAGGAAGAGAGAGTAAGTATTTGAGAGAGGGAGAAGGAGAGAAGGAGCCCCTCTCCGATATGTGGACTCCGTCGAATAATGCCGACTATACTCAACTACGTCGTTCTGCAGGTTGGTTATGTTTGGTTCGAATCGAGAACTGGTGGATAACTGGCTTCGGAGATCGGAAGCAGCTTTTCCAATCTCTCTCAAGTCTGATCTTTAAACCGTAATTATGCAGCGGTATTTTTCTGTCCGAGTAAG